GCATAATGTAGTCCTGGTTTCCTTAATGTTTTTTTTTCATTTCGCTTGATTATGTACGCCTTGATCAATGTCTGGTAATTTAAAAACTTAAATTTTAAAAATAATCATCACTGAAATTTTTTGCGAAATATAAAATTTGTTACTTTCGTTACATCATTTGTGTAATACAGCTCTAAGACAATTCAAGCCGTTTTCTATGCCTTGTAAATGCAAGACCGCCCAACCTTTGGTGAATCCATCTTGGAGTCAACCAAATCTTTGTCACTTGCATTCGGTTACAAACACAACCCAAAATTGTTCAGAAATTAAATTCAAAAAAAAAAGTTTTTTTTTTGGTTCATTAAAAAACTGTTGTCATACAATTTTCATATTTAGAAAAATGTTTATCATAGAGATCTCATAGATATTCTAAACGTATAGAATTGTATGGTAAGAAGTTCTTCATTTATGGAAAATGTAAGATCAAAGGTTTTGGTTGACCCGGGTTTCTTTTGTTCATTAATTCCCCTTGATTCTTCCGTCAAAATTCATTTTTCGTCAGAATGGACAGGGTTATATTATTGCTTTAAAACTTGTCTCTGGATTCTAGAAACTTACAAGCAGTGTGACCTCGTAATTCAGTAATTTCTATCCTATCACATTTTGCGTAAAAAGGAATCGCAAAGGCACAGCCCATGCGGAATCAGAACCCGCGCCAACTCGACTGAGCAGCTCTTTACTCAACTTCTATACTTGGTCGCCCTTGTGTGGCTTACTTTTATTCCTTATTTATAGTTGCTCGGTACCAGTCGAGACTCATTGATTGAAAACATTGTTCACAAAATTTTAATGTTAGCGCCCGGCTCGAGGTACTGAGCTTATACCATACAGAAGTTCAAAATCGCGGCTTATCGGGACCTCTACATAAATTTACAGTCGCGCCGCGAGTTTAGATCGGGAAAGTCTTGACAAAAATAAGCCGTGAGAGCAAAAACGGCAGCGTGGATTTCGAACGTCTGGTTTTTTCCATAACTTAATTGTGAATGTATGGACATATAGTCTGGAAAGTTTCGACATATAGTCGCAAAAGTCTGGACATAAAGCTGTAAAAATCCAGAAATAATGATTCCAGACATTCGCGAAGATATGTCCAGACTCTTGTGACTTTCCAGACTTCTCTCAGACTAAAATTCGCACACGCCACGTAAACTCGACCAAGTAACTTGAATCCAGAAAGCCTCCGAGCTGAGTTTTGTTTGAAGCGGAGTCTTGTTCGAAGCGGAGTCTTGTTTGAAGCGGAGTCTTGTTTGAAGCGGAGTCTTGTTTGAAGCGGGACTAATTCTGAAGCAGTGGACTCAAAACGCTCAAATCATATGTAGGTGACGGGTTTCGGGTAGAGTGCAAGTATTTCGATTGTGATTACTAGATAATTATGTCAATTTAAGTCAACTGGTCAATTTTAACGAGTTTCAACTAAAATTTTTTAAAGTTGTTTGCACGCTTTAGTTTTGCAGCTAAGTTTGCATCAGGAACACGTTGAGCAATTGCCGAAAGAACAGCTTCTCAGCGGTTTTTGCCGTTTATCGCGGCAACAATTTCTCTGGTTGATCGGTTAAAATAGACTGGAATCAATTAATTCATAAGTTTTTTCCAACTAATTTATTGCACAAGACAATTTGTTCATAACTTATCTAAATTACAGTTTCACTTAAGCAAAAGTAATTTGCCACAATTCTGGGACTTAAGTCACTTTTGTTTGTTAGTTTAACAGAAACCTCTTTCAACTGTTTCATCAAAAAAACTTACAACCACATAACGAGGTCAAACTGTGAGTTTTGTGAATTGTGAGCGGATTCCGCAACAAGGAAACTCATTTTGCTTTCCAGCGTTGACATCCATAGACCGAAAATGCTAATAATACAATCAATACTGGTCGTAGAAATTTCATACACTTTGCTACATCGAATTTTCAAAGGACTTTTTTCTTGTTTTGGCTTAAAATTCGGTCTATTGTTCTAAAAAATACAGAAAAATTTTTTGTCAAACAAAGAGCTAATCACACAATTTCCCTATATGAAAATTGTATGACTAACATTTTTTTGATGGCGACAACAAAGATTTTTCCATGTAAATTTGAACTTTTTATTTGAACTTTTTACTCAAACAAATATTTTTCAAAATTGTCGCATGCAAAACTTAATTTTTGTGAGCATAACGTAGTCCTGGTTTCCTTAATGTTTTTTTTTCATTTCGCTTGATTACTTTTTTGAAAACGCTAAAATTTCTATGTACGCCTTGATCAATGTCTGGTAATTTAAAAACTTCAATTTTAAAAATAATCATCACTGAAAATTTTTGCGAAATATAAAGTTTGTTACTTTCGTTACATCATTTGTGTAATACAGCTCTAAGACAATTCAAGCCGTTTTCTATGCCTTGTCAATGCAAGGCCGCCCAACATTTGGTGACTCCATCTTGGAGTCAACACAATCTTTGTCACTTGCATTCGGTTACAAACACAACCCAAAATTGTTCCGAAATTAAATTCAAAAAAAAAGTTTTTTTTTGGTTCATTAAAAAACTGTTGTCATACAATTTTCATATTTAGAAAAATGTTTATCATAGAGATCTCATAGATATTCTAAACGTATAGAATTGTATGGTAAGAAGTTCTTCATTTATGGAAAATGTATGATCAAAGGTTTTGGTTGACCCGGGTTTCTTTTGTTCATTAATTCTCTTTGATTCTTCCGTCAAAATTCATTTTTTTGTCAGAATGGACAAGGTTATATTATTGCTTCAAAACTTGTCTCTGGATTCTAGAAACTTACAAGCAGTGTGACCTCGTAATTCAGTAATTTCTATCCCATCACATTTTGCGTAAAAAGGAATCGCAAAGGCACAGCCCATGCGGAATCAGAACCCGCGCCAACTCGACTGAGCAGCTCTTTACTCAACTTCTATACTTGGTCGCCCTTGTGTGGCTTACTTTTATTCCTTATTTATAGTTGCTCGGTACCAGTCGAGACTCATTGATTGAAAACATTGTTCACAAAATTTTAATGTTAGCGCCCGGCTCGAGGTACTGAGCTTATACCATACAGAAGTTCAAAATCGCGGCATATCGGGACCTCTACATAAATTTACAGTCGCGCCGCGAGTTTAGATCGGGAAAGTCTTGACAAAAATAAGCCGTGAGAGCAAAAACGGCGCCGTGGATTTCGAACGTCTGGTTTTTTCCATAACTTAATTGTGAATGTATGGACATATAATCTGGAAAGTTTCGACATATAGTCGCAAAAGTCTGGACATAAAGCTGTAAAAATCCAGACATAAAGATTCCAGACATTCGCGAAGATATGTCCAGACTCTTGCGACTTTCCAGACTTCTCTCAGACTAAAATTCGCACACGCCACGTAAACTCGACCAGGTAACTTGAATCCAGAAAGCCTCCGAGCTGAGTTTTGTTTGAAGCGGAGTCTTGTTTGAAGCGGAGTCTTGTTTGAAGCGGAGTCTTGTTTGAAGCGGAGTCTTGTTTGAAGCGGGACTAATTCTGAAGCAGTGGACTGGTAATTTTCTATTCAATTAATCAAAACATTGTGAAATTCTTGTTAATTAAATAAATAATTCAAATGAAACTCATAAGCGTAACTATATATTATGATAGAAAATGTTGCTTAAATTGGTTACACATAATCGATTATAATGGCAATATTTTCGGCAACATTTTCTCAATATAATCTATTTTTATCCGAGAAATTTCGCTGCGGGATGAAAGCACGCATGAACATGCTTGCTCATACGCTCGTAGTTTTCTGCCAGGAACCCGTTTGCGAGCGCAGGCAAACGCATTCCAGGCAGAAGCCAACTCGCGTGTGCGATTGTATAAGCGTGCGTGCTTTCATGTAGTTACGCTTCTGTGGTTCATGTAGTTGCGCTTGCTTTAATTATTTGTTCAATTAATGAGAAATTAACAATGTTTCAATTAGTTGAAAAGAATATAAGTAGTCCATAGCTTCAGAATTGGTCCCGCGTCAAACGAGCCTCCTTTCAGTCTATGGGTCGAAGTCTTGCTGATGACAAATTACTTGGTCAAGCTTACGTGGTGTGAGTAAAACGGACAGTACAGTATTGAAGCTTTTCTACAGCTCTGAAACACTGTGGAAATAAATAAGGTTTCTTAAACTCAGGCTCCAAAACTGGTACACGGTAAGTTGGACTTTGCTTCGGCGTAACGATGCAATTTATCGAAGACCGCTTCATCGCAATCAGCAATTTGCTATTTCAACTTTGCAATTCGGCGCAACTGTGCAATTCGAGCAGCGATTGAATGTCCAGATTTTCCCTACTTTTCGGCGTAAATTTGCAGTTTGGATTTCGATCCCACAGCGGCAGACGCTCGGAAATACTTTAGTGAATTCGTGTTCAAGTTTACAGACTCAAGTTCTCGGCGTGACTATTCAATTCGGTTCTGGATATTGCGTGGAAGTTTACGATGTGAAAAACGGACGATGACAAAGTGTGGTCGAACCCATCGCACCGCACCGTCTCCATCTCAAGGTCTTAGAAGTCGCGACAGAGCTTTTTGGTCGCGAAAGTCTGGACCGACCGAATATTGCCCACCAATATCTGGTCGCGCCCTGCCGGACTCTCTGGCGAACGTCGCGATGGAACTTTTTGGTCGCTGAAGTCTCTAAATGTCCAATTTTGATCGCAAAAATCTGTACATGTCAAAAACTTGTTTTTTTTTATTAGCCCACGGCCTGCTCAGTGCAGGACCAACCGTGGGGGAGGGGGAGATTTCATCCATTTTGCCGCAGCCGGTCCCACCTTGAGGAGGCGGATGACACTGTGACCCCTCCAGCCGTGACCGAAGCGTGATTCGAACGCATGACCCTCGTGTTAAGAGAGATGTGCCTAACCCACTTGACCACGACTGCTCGCCAAAAACTTGTCGCGTAAGCCTGTGGATAGATCACCAACCTCGACCCGGATGGTATAAGTTACAGCAAAAACAAACCTGATTTTGGGACAATGCACTCATAGACACCGTAACTGCTGAAATGGGCAATCACTTTTGAGCCAACAGAAGCTTTTTTTGTGATTCAGATAAGTTTCAGAAGCACAAAAAATTTTCAAGCGTTCCATTCTCAATTTTCCCACTGCAATACCATCCGTCAACAGCGATTCCAACTCAAACAATGATTTCTGATTTCGGTCGAAAAGTGTTTCAAGCGTTGAGTTTACAAATACTGGTTGAATTTTTTGTGAAAACTTTGATATATTCAGCTGACGAGTTTCGTCTTTGAGTAGGATCGATTCAGTATATAGTCGATTTAGCGATAAAATTTGAGGAAACGTCTTTAACTTTGTTACTTGATTATTTTGGGAAACAAAAAATAAGCAAATAAGTAAAAGGAATACAATAATAGCTGAAACTCGTGTTATGTTTCTTGAAAAGGTCATTTGGAATAACTTTTTTTTCTCGGGAAAACTGAAGGTAAGAAGTTGTTAATAGTATTGATATGTTGAATTGATTTGCTTAACTTACAAGGTTTTGTAATTGTGCTGAAAAAAAAAGAAGTAATCGACTCTGACTTTGGGAATCTGAGAAAAGAATTGAAATAATCCTCCTTATTGCCAGCAAAAATTAAACTGTTTACGATGGCAATAATTTGCTTATGTGGTGTCGTATGGCTGTGTGTGTAAGTGAGGGGGGGGGGGTGTTTGGGAGGGTGTATTGTTTTCGCTATTTACTAGACCTAGACTTGAGGCTATAATTATGGAAAGCAACCCGAATATCTCTCCCCACTAGATTAATCCCATAATAGTATACAATACAACATTGAATCTACAATTGATTACTCCATCTTTTTAGGGGGGGGGGGGGGGGGGGGGGGGGGGTTGCCATTAACAATATCCTCGATTTTTTCATAAACTGAGTTTCCAAAAAGCTAGTGACTCAAACTTCGCTTGAACAAAAAAATTATCCCTTGTGCTGAATACTTTACATATAAAGCTGAATATTTTTTATGTAAACTGTAGCAAGACTGCTTGTATCAGGACAAAGCTCTTAATGACAATGCCTTTTAAGGTTTAGGGAGCAGTAATAACAAAAGAAAAATTCATTGTAATAAAACAAAAAGAAATTTTTTTTGCTAAATTTGAAATTTTTTATGAAAATCATCTGCCCACACGACATATAAAGTACAAAAGGATAAATTTTGCTCCTTGTAACAAATCAATTGTAGCAAATAAGCTTTTTTGAACCAATTTGGTGCGATTTCTAAGACGGAATAAATTTCTGCTCACGCATTGATAGCGCGAATTATATCGCGCGTTAATTGTCCCAAATTGGCCAAAATGGCAACCTTTAAACCCCATAATTTTACGAAAAAAGATCACAGGTGTAATATCTTTTCAAATTTAAGCTCAGAACAATAATAACTTCTGAGTGATATGAAAATAATCTTTCAAAAATGGCTTACATGCCAAAGTTAAAAAGCACATGCTAAAGTTAGAAAGTCATTTTCAAAGATAAAAAAATACATGCTGTTGATAAATCTCAAGTTGTTTTTTTTGTGAGCGTAACCAGCAAAACCAGCAAACATATAACCAGCATCTAACCGCTATTATTTTATAAATTATCTGATGAATCAAAGACAGACTCAAAGATTGCCAATATAAGGGTTGCAATTTTCACTTCCAAGATCCATGTTTTTTAACAAGAACTCTTTTGGCCGGTCATAACGAAACTTTTTTTGCAAAAGTTTGTAAACCCTTGCAACCACATTACGAGGCCTGAATGTGTATTTTGTGATTTGTAAGTAGATTCCTAAACAAGAGCGCTCTCTTTGTTCTCCTTTCCTTCTTTCACTCTCTTTGATGAATTTTTCCGTCAAAATTTCAAAGTATTCAAAGACTTATTTCTGGATTGGAGACCTACAAACACCAAATTGTGTACAGTGTACAATGACCTGGTAATGCAGATACTTGTCTCATATTACATTTTGTATATAAAAGAATGGCAACGAAAACCCATACTGAATCAGAACCCACACCAACACAGCTGAGGAGCTGGAATCAGTTCAAAACTAGTATTTATATCCATTATATTATTGATAAAAGTATCTCTACAAAATACTAACCAATCATCATGACAGCAACAAACTTAAAACTAAAAAACTCTCTAAATCCTAGTTAGGTGGAACCAGTTCAAAACAAGTATTTAGTTTATATAATTATAATTTTGGTAAACTATCTCTTTAAAATATTTAGAACTTACCAATCATGATCCATAACTAACACTTACAAAAATGTGTAAGTTTCAGCCAGAAGAGAATAAACTTAACTTAGCAAACAGTTGCATTTCTACACCACAGTTCCTGTTATCTAGCTTCGCAAATACCAGTACACACTAGATCTCTTGAGACTGAGAGATATAAGAGTAAGATTAAGATTGGTATTAGACTAAGAAGTATCACGAATCTATCCGGCCGAAAATAAGATAGCGTGACGAACAGACGGTGTACCTTATCTGAACTTACTCTATGAGCGTGCCTCTTGGACTTGGACTCATCTGGTGCGATCAGGAGTCTCGAACTGACCTCTATACATTTGGATTTAGCAAATACAAAATAGAAATAAGATCAAAAACACACCACAAAATGTTATACAGTATTGGAAACTTAATGAGTATACCTCCACGTCTCATTACGTCTAATCAATTCAACCAATTTTAAAAACTTACACCAAGTTAAAACCCGGACAGCGGAACGAGCTTCTACATCGTGAAACGAAAAAGCAGACTGCACCGACTATTTCTCTATAAAATTCACAATGCAGTAAAATTTTCATTCTCTCACTTGAATTAGAAAAAAACTTGGAGCCGTAAGATTGTATAACAAGCATTTATAACACCATAAAGACTGATCTAGAATCACAAAAAACATTTCGAAAAATCTGCAGTAACTAGTGTAAATTTAATTTTTATTTAAATTCAAATACAAAAAGTAATTGATAATTTAATTTAAAATTAGTTTTATCAAAATTATGAAAAGTTTCTTGATTCTCAAGGACAGTTATCTTTTTTCACGTTGTTTTTGTTTGTTCATCTAAAACATATCACAAATCACAAACTGATCACATTTAAAGTTTCAAACCTAATCTTTTCTTGAATTTTTTTTACCTTTAAATTAAATATTGTAATGGCTTAGCTTTGTTTTAATTCAAAATATTTATTTTTTTGAACCAGATTATCAAAGCTATCCTTGTTTCGTTTAAAAAAATTTTTTTTTCAAATTTTAAATCATATTAAGTACTTGATCATCAAGGTTTTCCTTGGATAAAAAAAAAACAAGTTTGTTCCTCCCATCTCCAAAATACTAGAGTATAACGACCTCAAATGTCGATTCACTCTCTAGCCCTTACAAACGATCCAGGACTAATTGGAATTTTTCAAATAACTAATCATTTAAATAAGAATAAAAAGTGAAGAACTTCAGTTACTCATCCTTCACTTGATCCCCTCCTCTTAGTTAACCCAAGCTAAACACAACGTAATACTAGTAAGAACTAAAATAGTACCTAACGATCTACTTGTGTTCTAATTATACTTGAATCTTGTGGATTGATTTACTTTTCTCCAACTCTCAATCACAAATCACAACCCTAAGTAAGATTAAGTTTTGAGTCTTAAATAAAACTTAACCACCGAGAAATTATTAAATCTTTCTTACGAATTGATATACTTTTTCTTCAACCCATCTATACACACCAATCTATTCAGCCAAAGATAAAGATAACTTCAGAAAAAACGCGAGGACTAATAGTTTAATATATAGAAAACCTAACACTTGAATTTTGCAACCATCAACCTATTACTTCTGTCAAGAGCTAATTTAGGATACAAACAAACAGTAGTTCTCCACAACTGTTTAAATCTAGGTGAAAGATACGATCTTGTAATCACACCACATAAACAAAAAATAGGATACATTAGATCGAAAGATCAAACAAAAAGAAGGCAATAATCAAAACAAAAACAGATCCTTAAGTCAGATTCGGAATCCGACTCAACTACAAAACAAGAATTTAGTAAACGATCTAAGATATTTTTCAGAATCAGAAGCTACAACAGCATAATCATTGAAAAGTAAACACAGAATAAAAAACTCAAATATTCGCAAACCAGTATGACTCTATTAGAATCAACCAATAAGTCATATTAACCGTTATTCCTACGAAAAACGATTTAATACGATGATAATTTTGACGACGACTCTATCCTTTTGTTTGTCATTTATCTACAAAGCGATCCCTCTAGAGGAAAAGAACAAATTTGCCATAATCTATTTACAAACTTGTTCCAAAAGGAAGTAGCACGTTTAAACAACAATTCCCTGAAAAAAATCATAAAACTAGGATTTGATCTTCATCCACCAGGCATCAGTAATATCACCACAGCTGAATCTTCACAAATGATGTTTTTTCTATCAGTTATAGTTTTGTTCCTACATTAGGGACAAATGAAACGTTTTAAGTATCACCACCACAAACATCTCGACATGCAATAGTAAGACTAGAAACAAATCTTTTTCTCACAGTTTTTAGAATCACCTCAGGAAACATTCAATGACAAAAAAAACTCACAAATAATTAAAGTTGGTCAACATAGATTTTTAGCATGGTTCATCATAGATTATTTTCAACACAACCTGAATTAAATTTGTGAGTTTGTATGAAACATTTTGTTTATCACCACCACAAACAACTCGACATGCAATAGTAAGACGAGAAATAGCATTTTTCACAGTTTTTAGATTCAACTTGTGGAACACTCACTGACAACAAAACTCACAAATAATTAAAGTTGGCCTACAAAAAATCTTAGTATGGTTCATCTTGATTATCTACAGTACAACTTAAATTTAATTTGTGATTTTTTATGAAACACTTTATTTATCACCACCACAAACATCTCGACATGCAATAGTAAGACGGGAAATAAATCTTTTCTCACAAATTTCAGACTCAATTTGTGAAACACTCCTTGACCACAAAAACTCACAAATAATTCAAGTTGGTCTACAAAGAATCTTTGCGTGGTTCATCGTGATTATTTTTAGTACAAATTGTATTTACTTGTGATTTTTTTATGAAACATTTTATTTATCACCACCACAAACATCTCAACATGCAATAGTGAGACGGGAATTAAATCTTTTCTCACAACTTTCAGACTCAATTTGTGAAACACTTCTTGACAACAAAAACTCACAAATAATCAAAAACTATGTACGAAGAATCTTAGCATAGTTCATTATATATTGTTTTCAACATTTGAATTTTTTTTCACATGCAAAAAAAAATTTTCGACCACAAACAAACAATGAAACAACATTTGCAAATGAAACAGATTATATTAGGGGCCCTAAATGGTCCCGATTATAATTTTTTAATATTCCGAACGAGTGCAGCAATTGCAATCATCTCAGTATACAGAGATTATTTAAGAGTAACTCCACTTACAACTGATACAATACTTTTAAATTATAACACAATACTTAATGAAAGATCAAGTAATAATATTTTTTAATCAACATTTATAAAAGCACATGAAACCCTTAACAGAACTAGAAACCTAATACAACAAGATATCAAATTTTACATCACATTTCATAAACAAAGAAATTGTCCAAACGCTACCTACAATGACTGTACAAAGTGTCTCACCTATACAGCTGACATTTACAACACCATTTAATCAAAACAATACTCCTATTCTACAAACGAAATTGCAATCAACAGTTAGACCATCCTTCGATCCTAATTACTACTATATGGATTTCCAAATAAGTAGACCAATTACCAAAAAACGACCACCTAATAAACAAAAACACGCAAAAGGCAATAACTTTGCAAACCAAAAAAATGATAACTTCGCAAATAATAACAATAAGAATCCAATAGCAAGACTACTTTACACCATCCGAAATCAATCTCAAGAACATAAATATAACCAACAGATGCCAAAACCAGTACCGCAATCAGTATTTTCCAAATGAAAATGAAACCATACCTTATGGATGGATCATCTATAACATATTGAAAAAACTACTCATGGTACTCACAGGAACAGACCATAAATACTCCGTAGAAGACTACTGAAAAGCTGTTACAGCAAGTCTACTCTTAAACATAGGCCAAGAACCTATAAACACTTTACTTCATCAAAATTGCATCCTTAGGCGTACAGCACTGACACAAATTAAACTGGACTGCGCAGATCAATTTTTTTGGTTTTTGGTTTAACCCATAGATTTGAAATCAGATTGGAAAGGATTTACTCAAGAAACTCCAAAAATATTCGGTTCTGAACGAAACAAAGAATATCAAAAAGTTTATGCAACGAATTTTGCAGACTTCCGATTGAAACGATAAAACAACTTCCAGTAAGTTTCGAAACTCTAGTACGATAAGCATTTTCTCTCAACACACATGACTACAAAAACACAA